TCGCCCATCTTCTTCAGGCCCGAATTATTAGACAACAGAAACAGAGGAAATGTGTTCCTGTACACCTTGCCCGTGCCCAAGGTAGATATACGAATGCGAACTTTCCCTATACGAAAATCCGGCCGCATCGACTCTTTGGAGCCATCGGATTCTAGTACTTCCCAGCTGTCAAATACTCCGATTGTCAACACAGTTGACGGATCATAGACTCTCCATGTATACTGCTCATTCCACTTGGGGTCCAGACTATCAGATATGGTACGTGTCCGCACCCATTTGCTGCCATATTTCGCCACCGCATAGGCATCTGTAGACCCCTTGCCCTTGATCGTCTTCATAGGGAGTAGATTTCTGCACCCAATGACTCCTAATTCAACAGTTCCAATAGGGGGCTTCCAAAGCTGCCTGGCGGTTGGACGGTAGTCACTGCACACGTGAGCGGCTTCGTCCATCACGTGATACCCACCATCAAAACACAGCTTCAAGTGGACTCTGCCTTTGTACGCCCTTTTTGCTTCTTTCGGGTCTTCAAGTGTGAGCCATCTGGAAACCACGTTGCGATCATCAACGCGTCGCTCTATGGACGCGAGCGGTATGCTAGCGACACCTAGCATGACTTGTTCCTTAGGTTGCCGGTTTTCTATCAGGGAAAACATCAGAGGGTGCTCCGTGAACGGTTCAGCTGCTACAAATACCAAATCTTCGTTCCATGACGGAGATCCGTTACTGGAGACAGATGATTTCGTTTTCTGGACTTGAAACCCCAGTTGGACTTTAACTTGAAATGATGACTCTTTTGACGACATTAACGGAAAAATGTCTTGTGCTTCTATGATTGTTGACCTCAAATACCACAGCTTGGGGGACTGGTAGACTTTTGACTTGGAATTAGGATTACCTGCGGTGTCGGTCTTCCACGCCTCAGGAAACGACTCGTCAGCTTGTGTTCCAACCCACGTGGCAAGCATGAGGTCCCCCTTGTGGGCTCCGCCTCCTTCCAACCTGTACCACTGTGGGGCTAACGGACTGTCGGGTGGGTCCCGCAGTGGGATCTCACTCACGTCAAAGCAAATCCCACCTAGGAAGTTATGCCCCGCCACGTCAGCCGAGCCGCCTCCTGACATGGCGTGTATTGGGTCCCACACAGAGATCTCCAGGATGGAGGAACAATCTGGTGCGTCCCGACTGAAAGCAAATGTCTGGTCCCACTCGAACAAAGTGGTTTTCCGGGCTGGTTTTGAGATGATATGGCAGCCGGAAACAACAATCTTCACGACCGGCCTTCCCATGGTCGGAAGAGATCTAGCTTTGACTACTCTGACGAAGAGATAATGCATTTTCTCTACAAGATCAAACGAGGACCGTTCGATTGTAGATCTATCAGATGCATCAGACAAGAAACTACTGACTGATGAAACACGGCTGATTGGTTGAGGACCGTTGATATTGTTTATTTTGACTTCAGCCATGGATCCTGAGGCTACCGATGCCATCATGTGATCAAGGCCATTATCAAGTTGTACTGTTTGCTGAGGACTCAGGTCCACAGGATCCGTCCCTTCTTGGGCGGGTAAATGATCAGGGGCCACGTCTTGCTTTTCGTGGTCAGCAACATCCGAACTCACACTAGCAGTTTCCGGTGGTGGTGCGGCTTCGGCAGGTGGCACTGGAGGCTGTTCTGTAGCGGGCTTTTCACCGCCAGATGCTGGCTCCTTAGGTTGCTCTGGGTTAGTCTCAGATGCCGCATCGGGCTTTTCACACACCGGTTCAGTTGCCTCAGGGGGAGGTGGTGGTGAATCAGAAGGAGGTGCAGCTGCTGCCTCGGGTGAAGCTTCTTCTGCGGCGGCCGGTGTTTGTGAAGTTTGCTCGGGCTTGGCCTCCTCCGGTGGTGGAGTTGGTAAGGCTGGTGGTCCAGGTGGGGGTATAACTTCATCGGCAAAATAAATCTTCAGCCCAATCTCACCTTGAATCCAACTAAACAAAGTCTTCTTCTCCAGCGGATAATAAATCAACGCCTCCTCACCTTTCCTGACGAACTGCCTTGAGCTTAACTTTAATCTACCCAAGAAATGATTCCTGGTGGTAGGTCCGACTTTTCGATCGTGATACATCTCCAGTTCAAGCATGTCACCTAAAACATCGGATGGTTTGCCAACGTTGAACTCGAGAGTTTCGTTCCATGCTGGATTCAAGTCCCGGATCACTGTCCTTGTCTTCTTTCTCTGACCATAAAAATCAAGAATCACGTAAGGACTGCACGTCCCGTGACCGTCTTTTGGTGGAAGGTTACGTGCATCGACCACCTCAACAATGAGTTTCCTTACCGTGCCCATCGCGGAAAAAGAAGGGAGAACGAAGATGAATGAGTTTACTGGTTTAAATTAGCTGTCTGCTAGGTTGCCAGCAACGAGGAATGCTAGTTACAATAATTGTTGCTTCTTGATGGGTTTTCTTTAACTTTTGGGATTGGAGAGAATTAAGGAGATGGGTGAGAGAAAAGGGACACTTGTGTTCATACTGGATGTACTTGATGGAAAAGATGGCGAATTTGGGAGACTGAGAGAAGCACACTGTAGCAGTGGAAGTCTTAGCTGGACATCTCGAGGAGGAAAAAGTTCATTAGATTGAGGAAATCGGATGGGAAAACATGCTTAACTTCATGTGCAAGCGGCTGCAGCATTAGCCACTTTGCCCAGCATATCCCTACGGTCAAATTCTTCTCTTGCTTCCTTAATTTAACGAGTTTTCTTTTCCTCAGGATTCCCCAGGATTTTGCTTTTACATGTCCCGCCGTGTTTATAAGTGAGTGGTATAAAGTAATTAACTTACCAAAACAAATTGATGTGGCCATCCACGATTCAGGCAGGGTTCACTTTTGCCTTCTGTTTTCTTTTGGTTCGGTTGGGCAGGATTGGGATATATTGCATTTGCAGAAGATTCTTTGGCTAGCTCCCTTTTTCCGTCAGAGAGTCACAATTAGCCCACACACCTCGGGATGGCAAAGAGATTGAAAGGTGGATGGGGAATTTTGTTGGCCGCCTTACTGATGACTCAGGATGAGTGATTGGTTCGCTTTTTGACAAAGAGGAGTGCCCTTTTTGGTGGTTTGTTATCATCGCCGACCATGCTTTGGCCGGCCAAGCGCTTTCCACACTTTTGCCCATAGCCTGGAGATGTATCATTTTATTTGATAAAATAAATCAATCCACTGATGAATCCCCGCTTTCTTTCATTTCTGTGAGAATCATTTCTTGTTTCTTTTCCCTTTTTATGTCAAGTAGGAGCTCTGGATCGTTGCGCTACATTCTGGTAAAGATTGGTATAGCAAGTTCAACACCAAACTATAAAGAGCATGAAGGGCAAAAAATACGCTCAAGCATATTTGCAGGTCACATCCAAGCGGACTACTAACGTGCATGCATGGTAAAGCAAATTGAAAAGAGCAATCAATTAAATGACCCCAAAATCAATATATCTTTAGGAGAACGTATTATAGTGCAGTGAGAATTTTCAACGCTCACAAGATAGGGAGATTTTCCACAAAACCAAAATTCCTCGAGTGACGACATTGGAGTTGAGGACATTGAAAGGCCATAAGCTGACCCTTGTGTGAGCCTTCCGGTGGGAATATTAGGGTCGAACAGTCTAATTCTACTACAAAGATTTAGAGAACTTTGTTGAGTGGCTAAGATTACCTCCGCATTCCTCATAGCTCACAATTTGGCAATTAATCACAACAAGATTGCATCATAGATAGAAAATATTCAATACATAAATACAAGTACAAGTTTTTTTTTTCCTTTTTTTAAATAATCACAAGTACATAGAAGAAACTTGAGGAACCAGAAATCTATAGGTTACCCCTCTCTCTTCCCCTTTTTTTTTTTTTTTTTTTTTTTTTTTCTTGGGTTTGTTTTGGGTGTCGAGTGATGCTAAAAGAGTGTATGAATCCCTCGTCAAAGCTCAGTAGACATTTTGTTATCTTTGAGACGCCATTTCCTGAAAAAAGGATTGACAATAGATTATAAGAATCAGGGGAATTATCAGGCACTGCTGCAACATGCTGTATGCATCAGTAATTATTATCTTTAATTTAGGATGGGCTTATTTTCATAAACGGGCTAAGGATATCTGAGCGTATAGGGCAAGCCCATTTCAAGAAAACTAGGCAGCACCCCAAAACTGCAGTAAAGTTCTGGGCTGGGTCCAGATGGACGTGGTTGTACACTTATGCCTCGTTTCTCGTTTGCTGTAAAATACAAAGTAATTGGGCGTGGACACGAACTGAACAGCTTGTATGGGCTGTACTGGAGTTATTAATGTACGGACTGCAGAAAGCAAGGCATTTGGCACTTGACCCCAACTGGAAAATCCCAATGCTTGTAAGTTTTTCATCCAAATTCACTTTTACTTTGGGCAAAACATTCCTAATGCTCAAGTTTTTCATCCAGATGCACATTTATTTTGGGGAATTTAACGTTTGGGTTGCTATTTTTTGAAGTTTTTTTTGAGAAAATTTATGGTAACGATTTGATGCACGTGAGGCGTAAAAGTGATTAAAACATGTCTTCACGCGGAGAGGGTAAAACCTTTTCTGCGAGAAACTTCAATCCAAACATGCTAAGTTTACAGGTGAGCTGCTTCCTAAATTTTCTACAGCAAAAGGTTGAGAGAAACAAAACTCGGATTCAGAACATCTGCAACAGTGCTCTCATTGACAGTCAATAATTTCATTGCGGTACTTACTCCAAAATGTTTATGTTCTAATCCAGACATCACAAGGAACAACAATTCGGTCAGGGCAGGACTCTTAGAACTCTCGCGACTGTTAGATAGTTGTCACTTTTATATTTTAAGTAACAAAATTGCTATATTTCATTCACCTGGTATGTAAATCTGGCACCATTCAAAGATGTAACCCTCCAGATATAAACACCACTAGTTTAAGCCAACAACCGTCTAAAATGAAAGCCAATAATGTCTAACCAATAAAGCAATAATACAAAAGAGTCCCATATATATATCTTTTAGTATTTGCCCAAGAGGGGCGGAACACCAACAAATGAAATGCCCCAAGAAGAGCCAACAGGCATTTTGGATGAAATACAAATCATAAGTTCAAGAATGAGCATCAGTCAATGACCCAAGGAATAGTTGATATCTCAAGTTTTATATTAATCTCATGATATAGTTCCTCATAAAGATGCAAAATTCCTATATAGTTATTAACAAACTGGAGATTAGCAAAATACGAAGGCAACATACATAGTTAACAGTGATGATTCATAGCTGCGCACTGGTATAGGTTAAAAACGATGCCCGACTACTGACTAAATACCTGCATAAATCTGCAAACTCGCCATCAAATATTACAGTCATTGACACATAAGAAGAACAAATCTGTCCTTGCAAAATTAGGGTACTAGCCTAATTCTTCGTGTTGTCATTTGCATAGCATCTCATCCCAAAATCTGCAAAAGAAAGAAAAAACAAGAAAGTAAAGGAGAAAACCTGAGACACAGAAACAAAGATGCTTAGCATTGCTAACAAGGCTGGTTTTGTCTGTTATGATGCTTCACTATCAAGAATATAAATTATGCTTTCAAAAGCTATTCACTTCTCTTACGTGAGCAGCGTTTATTACTAGTCGATCTGGTTTACACTGTAACTTTTATGTGGTGACTTTTTTTTTTTCCGATCATTGCACCACTCTTTTGGGTGTGGGGAAAGGGGGGGGTGGTCGTGGAGATGCGACAACCAACAGAAGGAAAACAAAGCAAACAAAACCCTACTTCTCAGTGAATGAACTGAAGCCACTAATTACGTATTCAATTATCCAAAAACAAGAGGCAATAAAACAAAGACATACTAGACAAAATAACAAGCATATACGTACAGAACTACTTTTATCATCAAAGAGTCCGTGAAAGTGGATTTTTGGTTCCTGGTTAGACCATTTTTTTGCTGAAAATTTTGAGCACTGATCTTGTAACAACTAACTAGTGTGAGTTTTTTGTGATATGAAAGGAAATGACCAATTGGTTACTTTGTTCTTCGTTCACTTTGTGAATCAGAGGGTAGAAGATGATATACCTGCAGTGATGTACCAGCAGTATAAGAGGGTTGTTCCTGACCTGAGGGGTGTGGGGCTGATGGAAACTTGGAAAAGTTGGGCGTGAGGAATGAAGCCTGGTCCGAGATCACTACAGATCGTTGAGCCTTTTATCACAAACTCTAACCTGAGTTGGGATCAAAGAAAAGAAAGGAGATCCTTAATAAGAATAAGTGTAGTAGTAGTAAGTCATCAAATTAAAGGATCTTGGATCAAACTTCATTCCAGACGCCCTCTTTCCCTTTTCCTCCTCCAAGAAATTAATCTGATTCTCTCGGCTTTCTCTCGCTTCTCTCTCTTCATGATTCAACAATGAATGCCTAGCTACCTAGCCACAAAGCTGCAAAATAAAAGCACTCTCAAGCTCTCAATCTTGTGATTCTAGTGTATATAATTCCTACTGCCTAGCCCACCTAACGACATCAAATAGTGGTTGGAGACTTGGAGGAGACTTGCTTATATAAAATAAGGGAAGGAAATACTGCTACATAAATATGTGCATGCACATGTGGACAATCACATGATAGACAGGTCATATTAGGAGTAAAATAATAAAAAGCTGGTTGATTTTGGAGGGATAGTCTTGTCTTATACTTCTGAGTTCTGAGCCCTTTGTTTTTCTTCATCAAAGAAAGAGTGAAGAGAATGAAGAGAGCCTGATGACTGCGCCACGACATGAGGAGGACTTCCGTTTCTTTTCAATTTTACAGGCTAGCTTTTCTCTCCTCTCTCTGTTCAGTAGAAGTACTATAAAGTAGTGGTAGTAAAGTTCAGAGCAGCAAGAGTGTAAGCTTAGCACTGAAAATAACGAGTAGATGGGTCATAGGAGAGGACATGGGCCTTCCCCTATCGCTATTTAAAAAAGAGACAAAAGAGAGAGAAAACACTGTGGCCACAGTGAGGAGGGAGGAGGATTGACACAAGGATCAGGGCTCACAAGTCTTTAAAGTTGTGACAAGAACTCCAGATGAACAGTCCATCATATCCATCATCATCTAAAAGCGTCACCGGCCATATTATAAAAGCTCCATTCCTATCAACACCACAGTTTGTGTTGTGTATATTTGCGTGATATTTGTGTGTACTCTGCTGTGATTGGGCAACCATGCATAGAAGATGGAAAGAAAACATAAAAATAAGAAAGAGAGAGAGAGAAAGAGTGAGAGAGACAGGAAGCAACGGGTTTGCTTGATTTATTTCAGCAGGGCGTTACAACAAAAAATAGTTGTTAATATGGAAATGAGGACATTACGATCCTGATTCTTATCAGTTATCTCCTACTCAAGAAATGTGGAACGAATGGATTATGACAAGCAAAAGGAATTTGATTGAACATCCATCCTGTGTTTTAGTTCTGACAGGGTAAATATCAGTAATTTACCGACTGTTATTCTGAACTTTGTGTTTGTGGAGCACAAGATTTTCTTGAACAATTTTTACGAATTATCGTCAAAAACCACAGCTGTGAGCTTCAAAGCAATCCTTCGCTTTTAAGTCCAATCTAATCAGTAAATTCTGCTTCTCATCAATGTAACTCTTCCTCCCTGTTATGACTGGTCAATTGGAGGATTAGTGACCATTTATATACTAATGGCACGATGATGGAAAGCACCCATAATTAATTTGGTTGTGAAATATATCTGGTTAAAATCACGGTTAATTTTGATACACCGTAGCGCTTTGTTCCCAAAAGTTAAATCTAGATTGATGTTAAATGGATGACATTCTAAAGATATCGTGATAAACTTGGTGGGTACAAACATAGAATGCATTGTTAGACAAGCATAGTAATTATTTTTAGGGTTTTTCTAACAGGTGCCCTTAGAGCATTTGTTAACAAACCTGACGTTCACCTAATCTATCATATAAATAAATATATACATACTAATAATTATTATCCACCCTTATATTTATGGATTAATCTTATATACAGTATATATACATTATCACCATTAGGCATATGACACGTGCAATATTTGAATTTTAAATTCAAAATTATTTATGCATCATCCATCCAATCGTGACAGTGTATATAAAATGTACTCTATATCTACAAACTTTTCCTATTTAATAGTGCTTACTCTCATTTATATTTATTTACTTCCACTAATTAATCTTATATTTCAAAAAATATAAATATCAAATATAGCTTAACAAGTGCTATAGGGCACCCAGACCATTATTTTTATCCTAATTTGGACCCTGTTTGGCACTCAAGTTTTTTGCCAATTTTTTCTCTTACAAGTTTTTTTAACAACTTTAACTCAAATAATTTCAAAAAACTCTTGAAAATTTAAAAATATACACCTTACAATACCCAAAAGACACACAAATCCCTTCTTTATATTTTTCTTTTTCTTCCCCCCACCTCAACCCACCACTACCAAAGTCGCTGGCCACAAGCCACCATTTTTTCTTTTCTCTCTCCTCCCCTCCTCTCTCCTCCTCCTTCCTTATCACTTCCTCTCCTTCTCCCCTCCCCTCCGCTCTCCCCCTTTCCTTACTCTTCCTGCTATCTCATCGCAGTGACTAGATCGTGTATGAGAGAAGGGAAGGGCAGTAGGGGGAGAAGGTGGTGAGAAGAGTGGAGAGAGGTGGAGGAAGGAGAGGAAGAGGGGGAGAGGGAAGGAAGAGAGGGAGGAGGAGAAGGGGAGGAGATGAGACGGAGGGAGGGAGAGAGAAAAAAGAAAAAAAATAGAGAAGGTTGACAGCGCTAGTCGCCGACACCGGAGAAGAAGAATAGTGAGACGGGGGAGAAGGAGAGGAAAAGACAGAAAAAGAAAGAGAAAGAGAAAGAACTGGAAAAAAGGCAAGGTTTTTTTTTTTTTTGTTAAAAAGAAAATTTTTTACACAACTCAACAAATTTTCCTACAAATTCTAAGTAAATTACACCAAAAAAATTCATTTACCAAACAGGAAGTTAGACCTAATGTCTTGATTTTCTTGTTACGAACATGGATCAATATTCATCAATTAGAAAAGGCAAAAGAAAAGAAGATACTCATACTGCTGCCGCTGCTACTAATTATACTGCCTTCATCAATAGAGTCAGAGGAAATTAAAATAAGACAAAAGAGTTCGAGGTTTTAACACAATAGTTACTACTTACAAGGTTGACTGGTGCGTTGTTAGTTAGGGATGGAAATTTTGGGCTGTTACGTGTACGAGTGAGCTCTCCTTCTCATCATGCGAAGAAAAGGAGTTGTTAGTGATTTTTTTTTTTCTTGTCATAGGTCAACTTCTATGTAGGAGTTGTTAGTGAATGAGAAGCTAAAGAGTGTCTGTCAGCTACGCGTCAGAAGATCAGATCAATTAAGCTTCAAATAATTGAGATGGCAGCGCAGCGCCAACATTTTACCCCCGAACGACTATTGGCATCAAAGTTGAGACCAACCAACCTTTTACTTTTCGTCCTTTCCAAACTCCCTACGATGTTGAATATTTGATCCCACCACGCCACGCCATTTCTAATCTTTTGTTTTTTTTTCTTTCAACAAAGAAAGTATTCTAATTTTGTCAGACTAATTTTTTCACGTCTGTGCACCACACTCTCAAGAATACATAAGCGATAGAGAGGTGATTCGAACACACGATCTCAAAATCTAATTAAACTATTTCGAAACCATCCAAACCAACTCCAAAAGACAATCAGACTAATCTTTGTTATTTATATAAATTTTATACTACAACTGCTATGAAAAGAGAATCTAAAGAGCTCAAGAGAACCCTACACTAATGAAAACCGGAAAGGGGAACCTAATACATTGGGAAGAATAATCTAAAAAGATCAAGAGAATTCTCAGCACTAGAAAAAATATTTTAAAATTTGTTTGATGGCCAACTACTCTAGCCTAGAGTGGTTAGCAGTTGGTTCGCTCCATTTCTAATCGTTTCTTTCTTTTCGCTCCCTGTGCAAATCATGTACGTAAGCCCCACGACACGACACGACACAACAATCAGGCTCAATGCAAAAGCTGAAAGGAGAAAGGAAAGGGCTTACTGTTTCTGTACTTGCGTCCTGTGGCCGAATTCATACGTTTGTTTTACGAGTCCAAGAATTGGAACTTGCAAGAATATGTGATTGCTTTGAAAGCCAATAATTTTGCACCCTACAGCTTGCAATTTCACCAAATTGCTCAAGCCTATAGACGACAAAATTCAAGTAATTATTTGAACTAAGCAGGAAAAATTATTGGATTTTTGACTTAACATTGCTACACCCAATATCTGAAACAGCACCGTCATGCACAAAAGTCATCATAACATTTGCGAAGTTTGTAGTTAATGAATTCTTCCTCAGCTCAACGCCATCGAGATCGTAAATAGGATAAAGAACTGTTAAGTCGAATTACTCCGTCAAATATCATTTTTCTTCGAGGAGGGATTGGGTTGGGTAATAAAATGAAAGATTCTAAATTCAAGATCTTCCATTTTTCAAAGAAAAAAAAAATCCTTTTTTCTTCATATGATTTTGTTTGATTACCTTGCACATGAATCTCGTTCCCCGCTGGGGGCTAAAATTTCAAGTCCTGCTTGATTTTTACTCCTGCAACTAGTAGATATTTTAAAAAAAAAAAAAAATCTCTTCTCCTGTTTTCAAGATTGGGTCCTAAACGAAAAATCGATTGCTAGATTGCGTTAAAGTGGCATCATTCTCGCTTTTGAGGATGACCGATGCTTTATGTTTGCCGATGAATGAGATAAATGGCAATCACGTGCATATCTTAACCCATTTTACAGCTGCATGTTTGGCTGGGAGTCACCCGGTTGAGTTCAAAAAAGAGTGTGTGTGTAGAGGAAATGAACTTCTTAGCCCCCACAACGAAAGTGAGGTAGATTTTTAACGTTGCTACAGATAGGTATGCATGTATACCAAAAATTTGCCCAATTGGCCGATCCTCCTCCCCCTTCTCTCCTCTCTTCAAGAACTGGAAACTTGCTTAGAATTTTAGAAATTGAAATAGGAGAAAACGAAAGGTTTTAACAGGAGACAAAATAGAGATTGAAAAACGCTAAATCTACTTTGGAAGAAATGAAACATCCAAGTGACGATTATTGACTAGTCCTGATCAACAGTTACAAAGAGTTGATCAGCCAGCTTCCGTACTGAAGGAAGATGTATGCCAGGGATGGGGTAATTTGCTGCAATCCCTATGACAAAAACTGCTTCCTTATTCAAGTCAGGTGGTGAAGAAAATACAAAAAGACCACCGTCCATAACGAAGCACCTTGTGATTGCTGTTTTGAGCCTGCTCCGGATTATCTCAGGTTTCCAACGGCAGCAGACGAACCAAATGGGAGTGAGGACTGACCCATCAGAGGCGAACCGACATTTATAGCTTGAGTTTGAAGAAACCAAAACAATAAAAATGAAGATAAAAAGCCATTGGCCAACTAGCTACACTGTTACAATGCCCTAGGTGGAGAATAAAATGATCTGTACAGTTAATTTACATTGAAACCCTGACTAAGAAAAGATAAAAGGGAATTTACAGTCAGAAAAGACATGATGGTCTTCTCATGATGGGTTCCTCATGATCTTCACGCTGCTGTAGAAGCGCTTGAGGTCTTTCATTGCCTTTTCCTC